CACCTCCCTGGGCAGCCAATCCTTCTGAGAAGTTTTTCCTAATGTTCAGCCTGAACTCCCCTGGTGCAACTTGAGGCCATTCCCTCTTGTCCTATCGATAGTTGCACAGGAGAAGAGGCCAACCTCTCCCCAACCCCACCAAATCCTCCTTTCAGGTGGTTGTAGAGAGCACTAAGGTCTCCCCTGAGCACCCTCCAGACTAAATAATCCCAGTTCCCTCAGCCCCTCAGACCTGTGCTCCAGACACCTCACCAGCTTTTTTGCCCTTCTCTGAACGCATTCCAGGGCCTCAATGTCTTTCATGTACTGAGGGGCCCAAAACTAAGAAGCTAAGAAGTTTTGCAAAATGAAGGGAGGTATGTAGATCCAAAAATAGGAAATAGAGTAGAAAAAGTACTCAGCTTTCACAGACAGGAGTGGAGTTTCTTAGTGATCTGTGCTGTAACTCATGGTGCTCTACATGTTATGAAACAGTCTGGAGAAGGATGAGTAAGTAGGAGATGCTGGAGTTGCTGAGTTATTTGAGGTAATAAAGATGTGTACCAGTTGGGAAGAATTACAAAAGGATCTTATGAAATGTTGTGACTACAAATTAAATTTGGAGATGAAATCCAGTGTAGATAAACATAAACTGATGGGCATAAGACATAATCCTATTTTACATATGAAATGATACATTATGAGTCATCTACTACCAGTTAAACACAAAATCCTGGAGTTAAAAAAATAGTGTTATTAAAATGTCAGTAGAAAGTTAACGAGCACTAAAAACAAGCAAACAAAAAAAAAAACCTGAGCAATTCAAGTGCTACGAAAAAGCAATCGTAACACTGAACTTAAAGTCACTTGGATTTCTGTTAGAAAAGGTTTAGAGAGAGACAAGAAAAAGAAAAATACAGAGCAGTAAGGAGCTTCTGTACAAAGAATAACTATGTAGGTTGGGACGCTTCAGCCTGGAGTGGAACCACAGCACAGATGTATATACACCTGGATGGTGTGGACAGGTGAAACGTCCTCGCCTTTTCCAAAGGGAAGAATTAGATGGCACAAGAAAGTAGCAGTTGGCAGATTCAGAACAAACGACAGTACCAGCTCTTAACACAGTGCTCAGTTGTGTAATTACCATGGGTTGCTTCAGGTGCTGAAACACATGGGTTTAAGGATAAGAATTCAAATCAGGAAAAGAATAGATCATCGATAAGTTACTAAGCGCAGTGTTTCCTGGGGCTTGGAAAATAAATGATCTGCAAACCAGGGGCAGTGGAGAAATGGAAGATGGCACTTCATGTTTCACTGGCGGTATCAGCATGAGCACCATCCTGGCTTTTCTGGTTTGCTGGCTGTGGCTCACACCTCTTCAGCTGTTTGAGGCCTGCAGCACACCGAGCTCACCACGGAGGTAGCCACACGAGCTACAGCAATCTCTAATAAGCACAGCTTCAGATGGCAAGGCAGAATATCTAGTGTCAGCCTTTCTTATTTAGATGAAAGATTTATCAAAGAAAGTGTTTTAGGAAAATGGCACATGACTGCTTGGTGGAAGTACATTTCATTCTCTTTCCTAATTCCAGGTGTTTTAAGGAGCTAGGGAGAAGTGAATTAGAGGCAGCCTTAGCCTACACACATCATCTGCCTTTCCTGAAGTATAACAATCACCTGAATGATCGTTGTTGTGCATAATTGATTGACTGGGGAGGGAATTATTATTTACAATCATATCACGACCTGCAAAGTCACTTCCATGCTCTTCTCATGCTGGTTTACAGCACACCATAATCTCAGGGACAGTATGTATCAAAGTCCCTTTGGGCTGGATCCCCTTGTAGCATGGGAGAAACTAACAAAACTCTGCATCTTCCCCAGTTCCATACAGGCTGTATTGATCAGGGCTGGAACATGAACATGCTTTCTTCCACAGGTAGAAGCAAAGGACCTCCAAAAATGCAATTATTTTTTGCTCCAGGGATCAGGATGGCAGCAGACATGCATTTCATATAGTGCTGTGCTTCCACAATGGATACAAGACTCAGCACTGCAGCCTCTGAACACTTGAGGGCTTTGCCTTGCTGTTCTGCATGCAGTGCAGCCTCATTGTCTCATGGGTTCTGCCATGGGTGCAAAGCCTCCGGAGTCTGGCTGAGATGGGTGAGTTAAGAAGCAGCTGCAGAAATCAAGCTAAATGAGCATTCAGCTACATCTTAGTAGTCTCTAGAAAGATTATAACTGTATGTTTTGACATATGGCATCATTGGATGTATAGTTTTCAAGAGAACAAACACTCTCAACTTTGCCAGACCCAGGTCTTCATTAGCATGTTCATGACTGTAAGTCAGGACATGAAAGGCTGCACAGGGACAGCTTTCTTTTCTGGTTTCACTGTGTTAATCTATTTGCTTTGGTCTGAAGGTGTGGTGTAAAGATTGCAAAACTTTGTATGGAGGTGAAATCTTCCTTTTATCTTGTGCAGATTTATTGATGCAATAAAAACAAGCAGTGGTCTTCAAGCAACAGTGCTGCAGGTGAAGCTGCAAAAAAAGACAGCATGGGATGAATGGCAGCTTTAATGAAGTTTGTCATTGGCATTTGGCTTAACAAGTTGCTATAAGCCTTGAAAAATGGATTAAGGTTAGACTGGTGCACATTAACAGAGTACTGCTTTGTTATCACAGGGACACGGGCCACACTCTGCTTCAGTTGAACAGCCTCAATGCTTTGCAGCAGTTTATAGGATAGACTTGAACCAGCTCAGCTGAGACAGAAATCACAGGGAGGCAGCCTCACCAGAGGGAGATTAGCTGTCAAGCTCTGACCCTTCTGTGATTTACGGACATATCCCTATCCAAAGCCATTTAACCCACAGTTTATCCTCTTAAATTGCAGGAAAGGCCATCCTTCTGGCACCAAAAAACCAAGCTGCAATTCCTTATGCATAAACCAGAGTAGCATCTTTTGAATCATGGAAAACTCCCTGAAAGGGAAGTGTGCTTGCTGCTGCTGCGTCAGTCAGCTGAGGAAATTGCATCACAGTGACCCTTGGAAAACAGCTTTCCTCTTTTCGGAAAAGGGAAGGAAGTTCAAGACTGATATTCTTCACTTTTTCTTAGAATGAAAGGAAGCCTTACAAGGCTTAGAATGCTCACAATTCACCTGGCACGAGAGTAATATTTTTATAGGAATACTCAGTCATCATAAAATAAGTTTCCTTGTCATAGAATCATAGAATCCGTAGAGTTGGAAGGGACCTTTAAGGATCTTGTATTCCAACTCCCCTGCGATGAACAGCACACCGCAAGCAAACTGCCAAGAACTGGATCATCAGAACTCACAGTATTGGTCAATGAAACATAAGAAAATGCACACAGGTGAGTATACAGACCAATTAAAGTATGCTTGTGTTATTGCATATAGAGATCCAGAAACCACGTTGTTTCAGATACAATCCCAATTGCTAAAGTTGTACAGCCCAAATGTTCTGACTTTTTTTCTCAGACGTAAACCAGCAATGAAGTTCTGCTTCATTGCCCTCCTCCTCAGAAGATTTGCAGGGGAAGGAAATACAAACATTGCTGGAGATGTGATGGACTCTTCCCTCCTGCTCCAGCCATGAGTGGGATAGAGAACTTCAGTCCTGAATTTAGGAAAAGCTTAAAAATTGTATTTAAAAAGCAGTTATGAGTACTCAGATAAAGAGCTGTAAGGAAATGCTATAAAGTACATTACCTGAGAAGAATCCTACAGCCTTCATTCCCAAATCCTTTGAATTGCTCTGCATTGTCTTACAGCAGAAACCAGCAAAAGTAACGCTACAGGAAAAGAACTTCCGGAGGAGCTCTATGGCTGCGTGTTTTTTGTCTCTTCCCATAAGAAGTATTTTAGATAAATGCAGCGGGTGTTTTTAAATCATTAACAAGGCTGGCTGTGCTATCAGTAAAAAGAGGGTAAAATGAACATATCTGTGGAACAGTTGTGCTTTCACTAAGCATGACTTTACAGAGTATCTTGAATGTCAGTGTTTCTGTACTTCTGCTGGCTAGGTTCTTCAGGAGGCACAGTGATGTTCCCCCCATAACTTGCCTTTGTCTGTCACATTTAAGCCAAGGAGATCACCTCGTGCTGAACTGCTCACAAGCTTCAAAGTGTGTGCCTACTGGATGCTGTTGGGAGTCTCAAGGACAAGCAGAAGCTTGTCTCTATGCAGTGTTGCATAGAGATACAACTACCATTAATTAAACATCAGCAAGGCCCTTGCTACAGACTATAGGTGCCCTTTCATGTATTTGAGTGTGATGGGAAGGGAAAAGCAACAAATAAAAAAAAATAATCTTTACACTTGTATTACAGATTGCAGTTAAGGGACATTTTGTCATTTGAAGTTTTGTGGGAACTAAAAGTACAATTACTTCCAATTATGAAAATCCCATTCAAAGGGACTGGAGCTATTCTCTCTACTAAGAGATGATATTTTCAATAGATACCAAAACATTTCCACATGGCCACGTAAAAATTAAATAATCAATCTTTATTTGAGAAAGGATTACGTGAAATGTAGACAGTGGATAAGACCTTATAGCAAATCCAATCACAAGTGCTCCATCTTCCTCATCCCTGGAGGCATTCAAGGCCAGGCTGGATGTGGCTCTGGGCAGCCTGGTCAGGTGGTTGGCGACCCTGCACATAGCAGATAGCAGGGGGGGTTGAAACTACATGATCATTGTGGTCCTTTTCAACCCAGGCCATTCTATGATCTTTAAGCAGAACACACAATACTGAACCACAGATACGCTCACACTCTGCAAGAAAAATACTGAAAAGGAAGGAGAGTTCAGTCTTCCTTCTCTTCTTTAGAGCAAAGTTGACCACAAAGTGCACGGCAGCTGTCAGATCAGTTCTTCTACAGCATACTGTGACAGCACAGCTATGCTCCCATCTGTTCGGCAACAAAGAGCACATGAATGAAGTCTGATGCCCAACATCACAACTTTAAGACACAGGCAAATGGCTCTTATTTTCACTGCCAGAACTAAACTTTATTTCCATGTGTATTACATACTGGTATTTGATGCCAAGTACATTAGAATTACTTTAACAGAGGATTTAAGTGAGGAATATTTATTCTCACTACACAGGTTAAGAAGGAATGTAAAAACCTACAGGAAAAAAATGTTTCAACTTGGTTTTGATTTTGGCAATCCAAACAGTTAAGTACTCTTCTATTCTCTCCTCCCATCCTTCAAAGTAGGAAAAAAAACATCTTTTCATAATCATGCAGCTCAAGAAAAATAGTTTTATAAAATCCATTTCTTATGCTAAGTATGGTTACAAATAAGGTATTAACACAAAACTCCCAGTTCCTATTTTTAAATACAAATACTGTGTTATATTATGAAATGGGGATAATTAAAATATATCGATGACTACAAATCTAGTAATTTAAAGCAAGCTCAAACATGCTGTTTGCTTTTATGTGGAAGAATTAGGATACTGTATGGTTTAAGCACTGCAGTAACTTCTGTCAACTCCTTGATGCCCAAAACGACAGAAACACGTATTTGGGTCTGAATAGCACCGGGTGTTTTTCTCCCCAAGTCCCCTTCTTTTGAAATAGATCAGCAGCTACCAAGATGAGTGACATGACAACTTCCGAGAGTGATGTGCACACACACACAACTTCATCTAAGACTCCAACGAGCAAGCTACATTTTAGACAACACTGAACAAATACTGATGCACATTGTGATACAAAAGAAAACAGTGCTTCCACAGCATATCCTCAGTTCCCAAATACAAAAATATCAGTTATGGGTAGTTAATAGTTATCAAAACTTTTATTGGTACAGAATGAAAGCAGCATTTAATTTCTTTTCTTTTAAACTGTACATCATAAAATTCCCTAGTACACGTGTGGAGGAGTAAAATAGGCTCTGTATTGTTTACCTGCTATTGGTACAACGTCCAGATTTAAATCCCTTCTTGGCCAAATACAAACAGTATCACTAATAGCAAAGGGAAGGTAGTTCCTCAGTGTGAAAGGTCAGCATTTAAAATGTTACTAAAGCGCTATTTTTGAAACAATACATCACTTAAATGTATAATCACATACACTAAGAGTGGAAAACAAGTTTTCATGAACAAGAACTATTGAGACCGGGCATAAATATCTTAACCACAAACCCTAAAGAGATTCTGAATGCTTTGATGTGGCCCTTTTTGGTGAGAGAATAAAAACAATGAAGTATGGCTTTTCAATCTTCCTTTAAATGCATGTTTTGTATAAGTTTTGTAGGCTTAAGTGATTTCAGAGGACCTCTGACATTTTCCTTTAACATCATTTCCTAATTAGAAGCGTTAATTATATCAGTATGCCATCGATAGTTGATCATTAAAATACAGCAGCCATTTGCTTTTGCTGTTGTTTTTTTTTTAAGTAAGGGAGGTATTCCTTCTGTAGCGAGAGCCAGCCTACAGTACTAACATTTCAGAGGTTACTACATAGCTTCTCAAATGAAATCCTCAACAGTTTTGTTTTCCAGCAGACATTTAAATCAAGCATATGCAGAGAGCTCGTACAATCAAGTGCAGACAGTTCAGAAGTCTCTCAAACACTGCTTCCAGTTACCCTCTGCAAAATGAGAGCCCCTCCTCACCCCAGTGAGATGGGGGAGAAGGGGAAACAGCTCTGCCATTCGTGTAGGAGTTTGGCTAGCATAAAGTTTTATTAAAGTTGTTAACAAAAATAGTTAAACATTTTTTACAATTTAACATCCAGTCTGACAAAAGGCAAATCAATGAAAAAAATACAAAAAAGTAAAAAAGTGCACTACCGAGTCCAGTATTCTGCTTTAAAGTCATGTCACTTACAGTATATGAAAAATAAACCCAGAAGTGTAATTACTTTAAAATACACCGCTTCCATATTTCAATATTTTACACATATATTCTATAGTGGAAGAGGAGATCTCTTAAAAACTTTACTATTAAAATATTGAGGTGCATATGCCAAGTGGGATAGACTTGGCAAGTTAAGTTGCAGTAGAGAACCCTTTCAAATTTGGCATTCGATTTACATACCTTACTGTGCCAGCAAGGCCTGTAAGTACCTAAACCTTCTAAAAAGAACAGTAACTTTCTTCGATGCAGATTAACTAATACAGACAGCTACAAGAAACGGTGAGGTCAGCAATTCTAAAGGATCTTAAGGAGATACAAGTCCTGATTTAGTCGTCAAATGGTACAATGTCACAACAAACTTTAAGGCCGTGTTTTATTTGCTGATTAATGGACAAAAGGCAATGGATTCCCCCCCCACCAAATATTTTCTTGAAAGTCTGTGCTCATAAAAATCATGAAAAGTTGGAAAGACTTACTTATTGAAACTTTAAATATATTTTACACAATCTTGTTTGTACAAAAATACAAGTTAAATATAAACATAAAGCAATCATGATAATTTTATGTAAATCCATTTTGTGATATTCTGTTATATATAAAAAAGTTCAGCTCTGTCTCATTTGTGAAAAGATCAATACCAGATTGAATCACTACTGGCAAAGGGCCCTAAAAAGCACACTTTAGCATTAAATATGTTTTACAATGTAAGTACCATTTCCTGATTTTATCTTTTCTAAAGGCTGGCAAAAGATAGGGCAGTATGTCCATAAACCAACAAATAATTTGGCTACAATGTCATAAAACACAAACACACAAATCTGTACAGTAAATCCAGTAGCTATGCAGTACATACTTGTTACACACATACACAGACGTGGAATGAAACTTAGTGAGACGCTGTTTCTAGTTCACTGTTCTTCAGCCTGGCATTTTGTCTTACTTCATCAAAAGAATACGACTTCGTTACTTTCCCATTCTTAAATACCGTATGAAGGAGATCCTGCAAGAAACACCACTGGTTTAGCAATGCTGATACGGTCAATGAACAAACAATACAGGTTGCACAAATTACATGTCAACTCAAATGCAAGGACCCAGATCAAAACTGATGAGACTAAAGCTCGTGCCTGCCACGATACCTGATCTTTTCACCTTCCATGTCTCACTGCCACACCGAAGAAAGGATTCAAGTTACCCTTCACACAGACAGAAGTTTAGTGCTAGGTAGTCCCTGAAGTAAGCTGTCCACATATGGCCAAAGACAGAACAACATAAGCTAAATAGACTCTGCTAGATTAGCTAGGAGAGGAGACACCAACCAAACCTTACGTACAATTCAACTACAGAAATTTAGATGAAGTCTTTGTTTTCTGTACACCAACTATGAAAGATATCTTTCTTGACACAGTCAGTCTCCTTTGCATAAAAATTCTGTAATACAGCACATCGAGAAGTGCTCACAAACAGCACACTGAAAGAGCAAGAAGCAGAGCTTTGTGCAGAAAAGCTAGCATAAAGCAATGTCAGGCAGCTGCTATGCCTGCAAACCTATCACACAGACCCACGGCTTTAGGGAAACAGGGCCTACAACAGACTGCATCTCCCCATCATTTCCCAGGCAGCCATAGAACCTGCACCACACATACAGCCCTCTCCAACATCCCATTACAGAAAACATCTTATGAACCATTTCACCTGTCAAAAATAAAGGAACCATATACTGCCTTATTTCAGGCCCCAATTCTTATGACTGAGTTGAAGAGATTTCTCAACTCTCATAACAGAGATTCTTACTATTATCTAATCTTTTAGTTTAAAACCATTATCACTTGTCCTATCATCATACTTCCAGATAGAAAGTCTGTTTCCTAGGTCTTTGCATCCAGAGCATGTTATCTATGGAGATTCTATTTGCCTTCTGTGTTTACATTTCTCAGAGATGTCAGTTTTATGATTATTGTTGCATAAAAACTTTGTGCCTGATAGTATTCCTATGCCTTGTAGCACAGAAATGTGTCTCCAAGTACCAAAAAACTCAAGAATCTTCCAGCTTTTAATGGCTGAAGTACAATTTAATAGCTTACTTATTTTCAAACCTCTTAATTCAGGAAGAGACATGCAGTTAAACAGTTTATTGCTCATCCAATGAAAAATTAAAGTGATTTCCAGCTGAAAGCCTGGAGACTGGCCTAAAGAGTGTGTTTATTTTACTGAAATAGCACTTAATTTTGTGATTGCAAAAAATTAACAAGGAAACTGAATTTGTGGATTAATTTACATTTTTGAAAACTGAGAAACTCCAGGCACAGAACACTAACACCTGAAGGAACTGTTTTACAAATCTCAAATTGGAAAGCAAATACAAATTCAATAAAATCTGCCCTTCTCCCCCCTTTCACCTCAGGATGTTACTTGAATTGCAGAGCATGGCTTATACAGAAGTACTTGGCTAGCATAATATTCTCACAGAACATCTCAAGTGGGAAAGGATCCAGAAGGATCAGTGTCTTGCCCTCTAGACCTTTCACCATCTTTGTAGCCCCCTTCTGGAGGTTCTCCAGTAGCTTCATATCCTTCTAGTATTTTATTACATTAAGATAAACTAGTTTTGGGGAAAAAAGCAATATCTCTTGTTTCTGAACAGAGACAAAAGACAGATAATTGTACAATCTGGACATTCTAACAACATCCTAACATTTTACTGTTACTGAGTTTTGCACTGGAGATACTTCTGAAGTACTGAGACAGAAGTCAAACAAAATTACAATTTCACAATTTGTTTTCAATTAACTTTTTTTCCAATCTACTTCTGCATGAAGAACAATGTAATAAACCTTGAAAATTCTTACCTGCCCGTACTCTTCAAGATCTCCCTTTCCTTCTTCAAGTGTCACAAAATCTCCAGCAGGTGTCCTATGCAAAGACAGTCGGCCTTTCTTTGACCTTTTGTTTGGATCAGCTACCGGATCCTTGAAGACATTTACCTAAAATCAGAAGTACATTGGACTTTGTTGGGGTTGCATACCTTGTGTAGATGGCAGTAATCTAACAGGAGGTATGAAAAAGTTTGTCAAGTGGGGAGGCCCCAGCTGAAAACATAATGGTAGAAGTAGTATAAGACATACCCCAAGACCATTGGTTACCACGTAGCTACATTTGAAGGAACAGTTTAAGAGATCTCTAGTTAGCTTCTGCAACAAAGCTCCACCAGATCCAAAGGCAATATTTTCAATACTCCATTTATTCTTCTTCATTCCCTCCACAATCTAATAGAAAAAGAAAGTTATGTTAGAATATGCTCTAAGGCCATGCTATTTTTCCATCAAAGTAACATACCACTTAAACAAGATGCTTTTTACAAACAACTGAACCAACTAACATTCAGTTTCCAGGAGATTTACGTAACAATCCTGTCAATACTTGGCATGCAGCAGTTCACTTAAAAATTAAATTTAAAAATCGCATTGTCTAGAATTAAGAGTAGCAATCTAGAAATGGAAATACATAAAGCTGCTTAGAACATGTTTTGGCACCTTCTCAGGCAGATACAGATCAATGTGAACCACACTGGTATCAATAAGCCAATGTAAAGCTTACTACAGCATTCCCCTCATCCCATTCCACCTACACAAACATGACATCCCTTAGCCTAGAGTCATGGGTGCTAGTTTAGTCACACTCATAAATGGCCAAGATTTGTTTCCATGACTTGTTACCCCTACATAAAGCTAAAAAGGTAGTGACAACCCCAATAAGAATGTTTGAACTCATATCTCCTAAATATTTCCACTAATAAAAGTAGAAGTGAAAGCTCCAGATCCAAAGGCAGTATTTTCAATACTCCATTTATTCTTCTTCATCCCCTCCACAGTATAATAGAAAAAGAAAATTATGACAGAATATGCTCTTAGGCCATGCTATTTTTCCATCAAAATGGATATAGCATGGAAATGGAAAATGGTGAAATCTCAAAGTCCCATCCATCCAGGTAAAAGGAGGCCGAGGAACAGAACGGAAGGATTTAACCCATGGGCAACAGTGCAGTTTCAGAAACCAGTATCATGAGAAATCTGCTAATTTTTATGCACCAAAAAGAAATGCCACAGTAACAGATAATACAACTGTTCCAGGAGATGCTGATGTTAAGTCATTTCTGAGACAGCCAAGGTAAAACAAAGCTTTCTAAAAGAAGGGAGTGGGGGTGGAAAGAAGCGACAACTTTCAGATAGTAGTAAATGGATAGCTAATGTAAACATGGTATGAATATTTTATTTATCCATTTAGTTGTGTGTAGACTGCTTCAATGGATACTCAACCTTACCCAAGGTATGGTTGGCCCTTTGGGCTACCAGGGCACACTGCTGGCTCGTGTTTAACTTGCCATCAGCCAGGACCCCCAGATCCTAACTACAAGAGGGGCTAACTACAAGAAAAAAAAACACACAAAAAAACCAAACCAACAGAAACCCACCTATGAGCATTTGCACTTGCTTTCAGAGACCTAAATACGAGAGAATATCTTGAACAATCTTCCACAAGATGTTAAATAGATTTATTCTGTAGAGATCTTACAATAGGCTTTCCTCAATCTAATGGTAGCTGCTTACTCAGCCTCATCCAAGGAAGCAAGTAGAAGGACTCTCAGGCCCCACTCCCATGACCTCTGCCTGAAGAAGGAACCCTTCGGAAACTGTATATCTTGAGTAAATAGTGCCTCTGTATGTGAAAATCCTGTGCATTTTAATACTAGTTACCTCATCATTCTCAACAGCAACCCTGTACAAAAGGAACGTGTATTTTCAGGTGATTAGGTTCTCTTGGAAGCAGTTTTTAAAGGAGTACCCATAAAGGACAAAGGGTTTAAAGATCATTACAGTGCAAATACAATTCTTGATGCTTCTTGATTCAGAAGCTATGTACAGAACAAGAAAATGATAACAAAGAGTACCTTCAATATCCTCTCATCATGCATAATACCCAGTAAGACAGAAAGAAACTAGCCTTGACTCACAGATACGGACTCTGCTTATTTATTGCTGTCTTTTGATAAGGCAAACATTGGTAAACCCCACCTGGACTCTGATCCAGTTCTATCCTTCTGTTCTGAAGCCTCCCCAAGGAAAAACCAATAGAGAACAATATATTGTCTCACATTTTCAAACCTATATAAAGAACAGTTCTGGTGTTAAGGTTTTGACCACCTCCTGCTGACCATTATAAGCATGATTAACAATTATGACTCTAGGTTAGAGGATTTTCTTTCTTTATAACCATTTAAAGACATCTGGAAATTGAATGTTCAAAAGGAAGTCCTTTGAAAGTGTAGTATATTGTGGAGTTAGCAGATTGGAATGATGTTTAAAGTGAAAATACTAGAAGAAAGTCAGAAAAGGTTCCTTACCTGTTCTACCAGCATTCCCTATTAAAACAAAGAATTTTAAAATCCAGTTTATACTGAGTTGTTTTCTATGTTTTTCTTTCAGCTAGTTAAACAGTTCTGATCTGCAATTATTTCATTCTAGATTTCCTGTTATACCCACTACCTCTCACCAGATCCATAACTGGTCATGCTTAGAATCTAAGGCTGACATGAAATAGTTAAAATGATCACTTCCATAGGGGTTTAGAGGGAAAAAAAAGTCACTGCATTTGTTTATGTATACTCCTTTTTAAAAAGTATGAATTATATTTCAAGATTTTTTTTTCTTTAAATGGCAAGCTAGTATCCATTCTTTCACAAGTCAGCATAGTAACCTTGGTTTTGCTGACACAGAAGGAAAGAAAAATCCATGAAATTTTAAACATGACTAAAATAGGCTGCAAGCTTGTGGTCGTTTTGCTCCAACAGAACTTGCTGCTGCCAGATTAGAAGCATTGCTTTCCTCCTTTTCTGCTTCCCCCAGCTCAAGACAACAGTTTCTATTTCTCCTGTATTGTGCCAGTGATTATTATCCTGTTTTATGGCACAATTTCATTCACTAAAACAGAAAAATTGATTCCTTTCAGCCAAGTTAGTTTGCTGCTACGTTTGTGGCATAAATTAGTTTAATAGTCAGCAGTTCAACAATCAAAGCTGATGTGAGGTGCACAGCAAGATTACAGACAGGCAAGATGAGAAGGTGGCCACTAAGCAGCAGTGAGTTATATCTACTCTGTGAGCCCCGTGGAATTGGACCCTCTATCCACTTCTACACATTACAGGTAAGACTTTCCTCACAGTCAGCAACAGTTTGAGGAAAATATCAGCAAAGAATTGCTCCTTCTGCCTTTTATCCTCTCCCATTAGCTACACGAATTATTTTTCTGCTCTATTATAGAACTCTGAGAGCAGTGCATTTTATCCTTCAACATAAATAACTTTAAAAAATGGTTTTGGTATTCCCAGAGACTGGCTGAGGTTGGCAGGGAATCCTGATTCCCTCTGGCCCAGCCCCTGTCCAAGTAGGGAGACTCTGAGCAGGGCGCCCAGGGTCACAGCCAGGCAGCTTTGGAAGACCTCTAAGGAGACTCCACAGCCTCTGGGTAATCTGTGCCAGTGTTCCATCACTGCATAGTAAAGAAATGCTTCCTGACGTTCAGACACAACTTCCTGTGTTCCACACTGTGCCCACTGCCTCTTGTCCCGTCACTGGGCACCACTAACATTATGGCCCTGCTTTTTTTGCACTCTCAGGTATTTATACAAATCGATGAGATCCCCACGAGCTTCCTCTTCTCCAAGCTGAACAGATTCACCTCTGTCCCTCCTCATATGAGAGGTGCTCATGTCCCCAGTCACCTTTTATCTGAATACAACCAATGCTCTATGAGCTTATTACCTCTTAGAACTTTGTCAAGTATAACTGACAAAATGAAAACTCTGAGTTCCTACAAGAATTAATGGTCCAACTTTTTTTCATTCAGATTTTCGTGAGTCTGTGACACAAGTACATACATTGCCTAACAATAGCACCAAGTTGTAGTTAAGTTCTGTTTTAAAGTCACTGAGAATTGTAAGTTTATTTATGAAGCCTCTTCCCTTAGAATCTAACCATAAGACTTATTTCTCATGCTTTGTTTCCTTAAGAACATTAGCATGGATTATTCTCGCAGAGCTACAGGAATAAAATTTGCTTTCAAGGCTATGGGGAGCAGGAACAGAACTGTGGTGTATGACTGCACTACGGCTGGCTTATCAGCAAACAACCTCAGTGTGAACTCTATGGATTTGAGTGACAAACATCTCAGAGTTCCATGGTTGAGGTTAACATGATGCGTTCATGTTAAACATGCAGATGTTTCCTAGCTGGCTTGAAACTTCAACTTCGTTAATAAGAATCTAAAGATGCATCAACCTAAGAAGCTAAGATAAGCATCAAAATTAATTTCATTGGATTTAAGTTTGTCCTACATATTTCTGGTTTTTAACTCTGTTACAGTTAAAGATGAAAAATACAGAACAAACCTTATAAAGTCAAGTCCTCCTCCTTTTACTTATCCCCCTTATCTGCATTACGTTAGCTAGAATCTCCTTCTAGCAAATAGCAATGAAGTTTTAAGTAGCTTCTAGGATGCGGCAACCACTAAATAACTAGATTTTGTCTTGCTGAAAGGGCACTTCATTGTCATTACTCAAAGATTATATATATTTACCAGATTCAGGTATCAATGGTCCAACATGGTAACTTTGACTCAGACCACAGCCTAATCTGTTGTTCGTTTGGGCTTTCAACAATCCTTACTCCATTAGTCACCAAACCAATGGACTCCTTAACCTCCCTCACCTTCGTTTTTAACAAATCACCTTTAAAGTCCACACCTTCAAAATTCCAAGTACAAACAGTCATCAGAGAATACATAACTAATGAACCCAACCAGTTAGTTACTACTATTGCTGTAGCACAGCAATCACACAGCATGCTTTAGGCGTCAATGAGAGGACCAAACACTGCCAGATTTTTATCTGAATAAGTTTGACCAGCAGGACAAAAGCAAACAAGAACGCATGAAATAGCATGAGCAGAAGGGTTACAACACTAAGATTAGGATATGCCTTTTAGTTATTATGCATCTTAATTATTCTCTGCGAGGTTTTAACGAACGTGTTTTACACAGGAGGATATCACAGCCAGTGTCTGGGACAAAGGCAAGGGAGGGGTCAGTAGTGAAGCTGCAACATCTAATTAGTCATAACAGATCTCAGATTAAATAGTAACATCGCCAGTACCACCCTGACATGTGAACTGGATCTCTCACCTCTTGCAACGTGTTGATATCCACACCATCCCCTTGAATAACTCTGAGATAGGGTGGCAGCAATTTGTAGCCTTTAGAGTTCTCTGTGATGGGAAACTTCTTCCCTAAGATCTCCAAGACCTATGGAAAAGAAGGTTCAAAATAAAAGTAAAAAAGTAAACTGCCCTTCCGGTAAAGAAACAAATATATCTAACATATGCACACAATCAAAACTTACACCAGCCATTGTGGCAGAAGCCATGAGATCAAAGCAGTTAGAGACCATAAAGCTTTTATAAACATGTACCCAAAAGCTAATCCAATCCATGCTTCCTTTCTTTCTCTCTTTGGCTGCTGTCATTTATTGCTATTCAGATGTCATCTGACAATTCTATTATTTTTTTTTTTAAATCACCTTTAAGATGGTGAAGGAGACTTTCAGTTTTCTATGATTTTCTTAGCCAGCACTAACTTAAATGCAACTCTTTAGATGGGATTTTTCTTACTTGCTATGACAAAGATAATTCAAAGTTCCTATTTGTGATATATCATTTGCCCCAAAAGAAAAAAAAGTGTTAAAGCTGCATGATTTGAGAGAATACCAGTATCCCCAGAATCTTTCAAATTTAGTAAAACTGTGGATAGCAACTCAAATTCAGAGGTACCAACAGCTTTCATTATTTTAAAACTTCAATTGTCATTATACTCTGCAACTAGACAGTTGCATTATACTCTGCAACTAGTTGTCTAGTTGTCTATACAACTAGACAGCCAGAAGTAGTTTTCAACTTAAAGTTCACTTGTCATTGACTTACATACAAGTCTTACAGAAGGGAGAAGGGTGTTCAACTCGTATTTACACCTTAAAATGGTAGATTATACTAATACAGGACTCCAAGATACCTAATCTTGGAGGAAAGAAGCCTTACCTGCTTGGCATTCGTATTAATACAAATAAAAAGAAGGAAGTAAATAATATTTCTACTAAGTGATGAATCTTTCCAGCATCATTAGAAGAGTAAAACTGATAGCTGTTATAAAAGCTTCAAGAAATGGTATGCAAGAATGCATTTAATGAAAACAATGAAGAAATTTAGACTGCAAAGGAGTTGCCATATCTATATTTAAATGAGATACAAGTTCAGATTTTTCATAGGTATGCTTTTCAAAGCATACTAAGCTAGAACATTATGTTTACTGGCTAGCATGTCATTACAAAACAAACAATTGTCCTTCCTAATCTCACATATAAAAAACTTAAAGCGTTACCTTTAAAACAGTGTCAAGGGGATTCCCAGAATCTGGTCTAATAATAAGTGGTGCCTCTGGACTTCGGCCTTCAATTATATGCCTTAAGTCATCGCCCCATATTTTTTCACAAGCATTGTAAATGTCGTAGCTGTCACTAACCACAGATACAGGCACTGAAGAAAACTGTGTCACTATGTGTTCGAAAGCATCTTTTTCATGATCCTTCCCCCAAGCTGTTATGGTACTGTGAAGTCAATTGAAAAAAGAAAACACATTAGAGCAGCATTTGTGTTAAATCACACATTCTGCATTTCCTAACAGAAATAAATCAAGATAAGAATAGGCAATGTGACTACAGGTCAGCACAAATTACGTTCTTATGAGCTCTGTCTTGCGTGGACAGCAAATATACCAACAGCAGCATGGATTCATCTCTGGCAGCTTAGACAAACACTGAATATGTGAAGCTTCTTTAACATGTAACTTAGTTTTATTTATTTACTTTCTGTATTTGTGAGAGTTTCTCTTGGATCTGGAATTCAGACAATAAAGGAATTACAAATGCAAGAACAGACCATCTGCTCTGGCAACTTTAGACTGTCAAATGGGAAGTAGAGAATTAGCAGCATAAATTAGAAGAATCTTAACACTTTTTTTTTTAGTTTTATTTTGGATAACAATTTAAAACCACCAAGATCCCGATCACAAAGCTTCTTCCAGAAGAACCTCAGAGCTTTACCCTTGGAACAAGGGTACAGGCAAGCACGTGAAAACAGAGTTGCTAAGAGAGGCAGTAAGTTACTGAATGCCAGCCGATCAGCAGAGGCCGTCTGCATGTGGCTTGCACAACTTACATAATAACTTGTGTGTGAACAGATAGAACACTCGTATAAAGCATAGGTGTGCAGTAAGAAATAACTTGCATTGCAATTTTTCCCCAAAAATGCTAGCATTAACTTTTAAGTGGATGGCTTACAGGACCAAAGAGAGAAAACAAAATTATGGCCCAGGAGGCTGGGCAGTCACAGGAACAACACCTGGTGGTGGTGTGCCAGAAGGAAGCACCACACACAGCACCACCTCAGATTGGAAGTTGGGGAACAGCAGAACAATTCTGGAGAAATCCAGGTCTTTTGCAAAGAGCCACTTTGGGAACCAGCTTGAAAACAGAGACTGGTCAGCATTAGGCAGCACACACTCAAACAAAAGACAGTTTAAGACAAAGTATGCTCTCACACTACCCACTTCTGCACACTGTGCAAAAGATGCTTCTATGTGTTTTCTTTCATTATAGGAAAATTTACAGTCACTTACTCCATTTTTATTTTTATTTTTTAAATCAATTGTGGGGTGAGTCAGGTAGAAATAACAAAATTTGCATCAAGTAGCAGTTTTAGAACAGCATTACAGCAAGGATCCAGAAAGTGAAATGAAACAAAGTACCTTTAAAGCTGATCACTACCCTATTAGAACTATTCCTGTAACCTTTTCTGTTATTCCTTCTTGCAATTCTGAATGAAAGCCTCTATTCAAAAGAACCATATTTTGTACTAGCTAAGAAAAAAAACCAAGAGGTCTTTCCTTCCTTTGTTCTCATTTCAGTATGCAGATGCACAAGTAACACCCAAAGGTTTGGGCTCACTCTTGATCCTGTAGAAGATTCCAATATCAAAGCAGTGATCTTAAACTCAAACAGGCATTTCAGATGAACTCACAGAATTGCCAGGGTTGGAAGGGACCTCAAGGATCATGAATCTCCAACCCCCCTGGCACAGGCAGGGCCACCAACCATCCCGTTCATTCACAACAAATAGAGGATTATATTATTGGCTGAATCTGTTATGCTGAGAGGAAACTTTAGAACAAGGAAAACCCTGCATCCCTAAACCTCTGGGTGAGGACCAGGGTGGTAAATCCCCCCCGCTGTGAGGACAGAGCAGGTCTGAGACTGCCTCATGTGACTGAATGTGTACAAGTCTATGGGGCCGGACGGCGTGCATCCCAGAGCTGGCTGAGGTGGTTGCCGAGCCCCTCTTCATCATATTTGAGAAGTCGTGGCTGTCAGGTGTGGTCCCGGATAACTGGAGGAAGGGTCACATCACTCCCATTTACAAGAAAGGGAGCAAGGAGGACCCAGGAACTACAGGCTGTTGAGTCTCACCTCTGTGCCTGGGAAGATCCAGGATGATCTGTTCCATGATAACATGCTTGATCAGATGAGGAAAGGGTGTGTGATCCGTGACAGCCAGCACAGCTTCACCAGAGGAAGGTCATGCTTGACCAATCTGGTGGCCTTTTATGATGGAGTGACAGCATCGGTGGACAAGGGAAAGGCAACCGATGTCATTTAGTTGGACTTGAACAAGGCCTTTGACATGGTCCCCCACCACATCCTTATCTCCAAACTGGAGGAACGTGGATTTGATGGGTGGACCACTCGATGGATAAGAAACAGGTTGAAAGGCCGCATGCAGAGGATGGTCATCAATGGCTCTATGTCCAGGTGGAGGCCGGTAACGAGCGGCGTCCCCCAGGGATCTGTCTTGGGACAGGTCCTCTTTAACATCTTTATCAATGACATTGATGACAGAATTGAGTGCACCCTCAGCAAGTTTGCTGACGACACCAAGCTGAGTGGTGCGGTTGACATGGTAGAAGGAAGGGATGCCATTCAGAGGGACCTCGAGAGGCTAGAAAGGTGGGCCTGGGTGAACCTGATGAGGTTCAACATGGCAAAGTGCAGAGTTTTGCACTTGGGCCGGAGGAATCCCAGGCATCCCTACAGACTGGAAGGAGCGGTCCTTGAGAGCAGCCCTGTGGAAAAGGACCTGGGGGTCTTGATAGATGAAAAACTTAACATGAGCCAGCAGTGTGCCCTTGCGGCTCAGAAGGCAAATGGGATCCTGGGCTCCATCAGAAGAGGGGTGGCCATCAGGGAAAGGGAGGTGATTGTTCCCCTCCACTCTGCTCTTGTGAGGGCCCATCTGGAGTACTGCGTCCAAGTGCAGAGCCCCCAGTACAAAAAAGACAGGGTTGTTGGAGAGGGTCCAGAGGAGGGCCACAAAGATGATCAGGGGACTGGAGCACCTCCCCTGTGAAGACAGGCTGAGGGAGCTGGGCTTGTTCAGCCTGGAGAAGAGAAGGCTGCAGGGTGACATCGCTGCAGCCTCTCAGTACATAAAGGAAGCCTACAAACAGGAGGGGAATCAGCTCTTTGAAATGGTTGATAACTGCAGGACAAGAGGAAATGGTTTTAAGTTGAGGGAGGGAAGATTGAGGTTGGACGTCAGGGGGAAGTTCTTTACAGAGAGAGTGGTGAGGTGCTGGAACAGGCTGCCCAGAGAGGCTGTGGATGCCCCATCCCTGGAAGCGTTCAAGGCCAGGCTGGATGGGGCCCTGGGCAGCCTGGTCTAGTATTAAATGAGGAGGTTGGTGGCCCTGCATGTGGCAGGGGGTTGGAGATTCATGATCCTTGAGGTCTCTTCCAACCCGGGCCATTCTGTGATTCTGTGAAAAGTTGTACCTTATATGGTGTTTCATTTTATTTTAAACAAAATTGTAAATGTGAAGTACATAATATGCATTCTCAATATCTTTTACCTGTAAGCTTTCAGGTTCCATTTTAAAAATAATCATGTACATTTAGAATCTCATAATATTGTGAGTTAGAAGGGATGCTTCTGTGCATTAGCTACTTCACTCTGGTAGAAAGTTTATAGTTTAAAAACATTTACAGTTAAAAACAGCCACACCACTGTTGAGCCCCTAGAATGTACAGAGATATCAGTACAGAACTTCAGCCTCATCATCTCCATCAGTCAAATACAGTATGGAATAAATGAAACAGCTTAAGATGAAGTGAAGCTTTCACTTTTCCTTTAAAGTGAGAAAAACCCACACTCCTAGATATAAAGATGAGTAAATTTAACAAAATGTACTTTTTCCTATTGAAAAAAGTTTTTATTGCCAAAAATCCTACCTGTGTTCAGCAGCTGGAACAGAATATCCTGGAACTGGATCTTTTGTTCCATAGTACTTCTTAATTAATGCAATTCCAGCTACAGTGTCTGTTCCTTTGAAGTTCACCAAATGAGCTGAAGCTCCTATTCCTGCAGTCTGAAAAACGATGCAGCTTTCAGTTGCCAGGCCAAATATAGAAGCCTAAAAATCAGTTACTGGCTAGCACCAATTTGAAACAGCAGAACTCTGACTCGGTTCCTCTTTCACCAATGCACTCTTCATGCATTTACAGGAAAGACAATTTCCAAGGTGAAGGAAGCTCTCCCACTTTAATTCTCAGATAGATTTCAGGCACACTCCACACACCCAGATCCACTCCCTCCAAATAAGTCCAAACACAGCACTCTATGAGTTCACAATTTCACTGTCACACACAATTACAACTGTTAACAAATACACACTGCTGTCTGTTATGGTTGAGATCAGACTTCCCAAATTATTAGAAAAGCTGTATTACCTCTTGTGAAGAAACTCCCCTGTAGCCGAAGTCATGCAGTTTATACTCCAGTCCCTCCAAGCTGCCAGAAGTCTCCAGCAAATATTTGGCCAAAATCTTTTTCTGCTCTCTAGAATTCGTAGCCACTGTGATTGGATACCACGACTGAACAAGAATAGTCTAAAGCAAAAACCCAAATCATTATTAGGCACACGCTGAGTGAGAATTTTTGAATCCTAAGTAAACATTTGCTCAGATACAAAAGGGCTATTTATTTTCATCACCCATTCAGAAAGCCTCCAACAGTTTACTTTAGGTTAAAGTAATTACTCTTTATAATACCTTTACAAGGCAGGGTAATACCTGCCATCTCAAGAGTTACTGCTCCCAAGCTACAGACATACATGACTCCCATCCTCCTCTTTCCCTTACAAAGGAACTACTGCTATAAAATTATTACAATCACTTGCCAGGTAGGGAGGAAAGGTCTACGTATGAGTACTAAAGAAAGAATCGAGGCTTATTTAAAGCAGAAAATGAAAGCTGTCACAGACTTCCCTTAAGGCAATATGGGATTCAACCCTTAATTTAAGTGCATTCATTTTTATTTAGGAAAAAAACATGCTAACTTTCCAAGACTGACCTCAATCCAATTTGTGAGCCAGTAGCATTCCGGATCTGTATTTTCTACTGTGAAGAGAACATTTCCTCTGGGAATGACAGAGCCCTCAGGAACAGCCTTTATTTCTATAGGAAGATGACCATCATATTTCTATGTGAGAAAGAACAATGTCATTAGGCAACAGGAAGGTTACATATTACTTCTTTTACTTGACTGCAGTAGATATAACAGTCTGTGAGTTTTCTGACAAAGCCTCTTCATCAAATCAAATGAAGGTTTTCAGTTGCATTCCTTGTGCAAATTGAGGCAAAAGGGTTTAAATATTACCTAAAATTACATAGACTCTATTCACAGAAATAAGAAATACTAGGTATTCATTTTTCTTCAGTGTTTTTAACCTGAAGAAAGAAAAAAGTTTCGCTTCTATCTAAGCCTTTAAAGAGCTGTAGTAGTTTTGCCTGGTACAGATGTGTGATTTGTTAATTTATTAGAGTAGGATCTACTAGAATCTCTTTGAAAGAACATTTTATCACCTCAACTATTCACTAAATACAAAATCCAGTTTTGAAGTATCATTCTTCTGTCAAATTCAGTCTTTCATCCCTGAAAAACTAAATACTCTATGGAATATCCCTTTCACAAAAAGTTGTGCTCAGTAGCTCTAAAACAGTAATTATAACTTTCTGAAACAGCAGTGCCAGATGAACCAACAACACTTAAAACATTTTGAACATTAATACTTTTTGACGAAGAGCTTCATATGAGATGTTACTTCTTTAAAGGCAACAAAAATTGCATAACTTCAGAGAAATTACAGAGATTCTTAACTGCTATCAACACATTCTCCAGTGCCCAAAACACACTTACAAAAATCCCCTATGTACTACAGTTAAGTTTTCTTCTGAAGTGCAATACGCTGAAGCTAATTGCATTTATATACCACACAGGCTTTGGGATATTCAGACTTGGAGATTATTGTACTAATTTAATAAATAAAGGACAGCAAGACCTTCCAAAAGGCTCAAAAATATTCACTAATGTTTCTACAAAGATAAAAGTATTCTTAAGAGGGGAAAAAAAGCCCAAGAGATTTGGAAGTCCCTTAGGTGTTGATTTTATCCATGAAAAGCAGTAAGGTCGCATCACAACAGTATAGTACCAGCATTTTCAGATGTTTTAGGTAGTGAGCTTCTCTGTAATGAGAGCAAACACTGTAATGAGCAAACATCTGGTACATATTTTAGGCAAAAATGCATAGTATTTTTCCTCTACGCTTTACCTAGCACAAGAAATTAGATAACACAGCCAGAAAGCAAGCAGTGGTAGGTTAATAGAGGTACAAAAAGCGGAAGGATCTCAGAGTGCACATAAGGGCATAAAGCATGCAAAGGGAACGAACTCTTCCAGTTCGACAGACATTCGCATCTAAGATCAAAAAGGGGAAATCGTATTTGTTTTCCTATGAACTGTTTTGGCAAGAAAACCTGAGCAATGACAAACAGTGTTCACAGGGGGTATGTGGAATGGTTGTTTTGACTAAGGCAAAAACACGCATTGAAATGGGATTAGTTAAACAGTGTTAAAACTCAGTGTGGACAGGCATGCAGCTAACAAGTTATCAATTCAGTTTAGCGAAAGAGGGATCAAGATTACTTTAAATACACGTGGGGAGCAGCCCACAAGGTCCACAATGTAGCTTAAATAAGAATACAGTTCGAATTTCACATCTGTAGTTATTTCAAAAGTGGATAAGGCTTCTATGAATCAATCTGCATTAAGTATCTCTTCGTGAACAGTGGCTCTCCTGCACACTTTGTGGCTCAGCCCTGCTGCTAGATGACATCCATATATATGTATCTCCAGATTACCAACAGATGCCACCATAAAATGCATTCAGTCAGGGTATCAATAGGAAAATAAACTCAAGGGGCTAAAAATTGTTTCCAAGCGTCAAATGTCATTCATTAGAAATCATAGCAAGGCTTAGTACTTAACTCATCCACAGTGATTAGAACTACTCTGAAGAATGCTATTAGTCTGAGTATGCTGGTTTTACACAGATGTTTGCAATTACTTGAAGACGGACATATTTACAACAAAAGAGAAATAGGATGAAATGTGGAAAGACTTGGAGGGATTTACGTGTCAAGTCTTGTATTTCATAATAGAGTTGGACTGAAGCATCACTGAAAAAAATTGGGGAAACAATTGAACAAAACACATTTACACATTTTCTGGAATATTTACACATGCACAAAAAGTTGTAATGCTTCCTGCATTAGAATTACAGCAGCTATGAGGAGTTACAGACAGCAGTACAGATGATGCAACCAACCCCTAGGCACCAAATTATAAACGGAGACTGGTCAACAAGCCCCCACTTGCTCTAACCTGGCTGATAGCAGCCATAAGTCCTTATCTCCTGCAAAGCCATACCTGTCATCCAAAAGGATGGACACTGCTTTTCTCTTAAGATTATATGATCATTCTTTGACAGCTACCAATCCCTGTACACTGTACATAAATAGCTACACTTACCCACTCTTTGCTATTATGGCTAAAATGTCTTGGTCTAAAGAAGAGACTGCCATATCTATCTTATAGTTGATTCAGAAATCCTTTGTTATCTTGTATTATTTTCATTAAGTTTTACCTCCAGAATATAGTTCCATCCCTTTTCATTGAAGACATCATCTTGAAAGTGCTCCCTATACACTTCTTTGGCTTCCTTGATTTTTTCTTTGGTCACCACTTTACCTGTGGTTTCAGAAACAAATGAAAGCTTAGAAAAGAAGTAACAAGAGGTTTAGATACAGAAGACTTACTTTGCTTAAAAAAAAAAAAAAAAAAAAAAAAAAAGAATGGAAAACACATCAAAAGCAGTACAGTAGCTTGTTAAAACCATATTTAATTTAATCGTGTAGATTATGATGCTCGTGAAGCCAACAGCATAAAATAGACTTCTGATCTGCAGATGGCTCAAGGACAATTTCAGATCTTTTGTCTTTTATGATAGCTAATAAGTCATCATGAGTTTTGTTTATCTCTGGTCTTCCTGGAATAGTATAGCAATTATGAAACTCAACACACTCAACAAGACATAGCCTGCCTAGCACAAGTCTCCAGCCATACTGCTCCAGGAAGATCCCTGTGGAGATGCCTTAAAAATCAGTCTCTAATTAATTACTTCTGTGATAGAAACAGACAGACTAACTGATTACTTGAGTAAGCACTGCTACTGCTTTAGGACTAATTGTCTATTTGCAATGTTAGAGAACAATCCTCAGATTGCTATAGAAAAGAGGTAAGATTCTTAAGTGCTTTGATTTTAGTTTAATTCCAACATGTGGCAGAGATATTTATGGATTCTGGATAAGACAAAAGCATGCAAGCTGTATGGCTGCAGTTCTCCTTCTAATGCTTGGCAAATGCAATTTGCATTCGGGTCAGAAAAGGTGATATTTGCACAATGCAAAAAAAAAAAAGAAAAAAAGCAAACTCTTAAATACCACCACAGAATTTTCAAATGTTACTCTTGAAAACAAGTTCACAGGCAGCTGCCGTATTAAATAACCTGAGTGACAAGGGAAACATAAGGGAAATTAAGGTTACTACCTTCCATAGCAAATACAGACTAAAATGTGCATTCAAACATGTGAAATGCATCTTCTTGTGATTTTGTGAAGTATGTTTCGCTTCATTTCTAATAATTCATTGTCATAAAGAAAGGAAGTAGGATGGTGCCTGAAGTTAGAAGTCAATATCATTTTATTGGGGTGGTCACCTTGATTTCAGAATCACATAAATATGTACCAACCAAGATAATCTGCAATTGTTTCAACCATATGACTGCAGTAAGGCTTGGGAAAAATTAAGGTATTTATATTTATTGGTGTATTTGTATTGGAATTTGAGATAGTTACCTTTTAAGTATTTATTCAGAATGTACTGCAAACCATAAAAAACAGTTTCTTCATACTTCACTTTCCTTAACTTGGAATTTTCAGTCTTCTTCTCACGACATTCAAAGTAGGAATATACTTTGCTTGTATTAGGTGGATATTGCTTGTAGTGTGTAACCTACAATAAGAAAAACATCAGTAAGTGCTTGAAACAACACTATAAAGCACAAGAGAAAAAGTAATGGGGCAGAGCTCTACCTGTGTATGTTAGAGCTTACAGGCACTCCAATTCTTTTGACCTATTCCTCCATTAACACCCTACTCAGTAAGCATTTAGGGGATGTCCCCTCCTGCAGTTTTCTTCTGAACTAAAAAATCTAAGTTTGTATCCCTTATCTTACTTCCTTCATTTCTGTAACAAGACTTTTGTTCCCCCAGTACCATTCATGGTCAGCTCTTCCACTGCCCCCACAACTTTGCTTTGATCAACTGGGGAAGTTGCCATTGCTTGGGTTTTCAGAGCAGCACTGAGCACTCACCTGCCCAGACAGTTTTCTCTCCACCACACTTTGCTTCCTGCAGCTATCAGGCTTGGCCATAAAGTTGTCTGCCACTTCCAACCCAGAGGTATCTGGTTGTATTTAATTGAAGGGTTAAGGCTATAGTCACATAGTTCAAGTGAAAGCCATCCATGCTCAAGAAGGCACTGACAGTGGCATGTACCCCAATGTCTCATTCACCTTGGCCAGAGAAGATTTCCCAAACCCAGATTATGTTAATGACAGCTCACAAACCTGTTATTGTTGGGAATGCTATTAGAAGAGCTACCTGAGGTTTGTACCTGCTCACCACCTCTCATCCTATGGCAGTCAAGCACCACCACGTAACAAAATCTGAAAAGGTGCTAAAGGCACATCCGAGTTTTTCTGAAAGGCCCAGATTTAACCACAAGATCAGTGTAACTTAATTGCTGCTACTTTTTACCCCACATAATCTTAAAAGGTATCATTTCCAATACCACAAGAATCCAGAAATGGAGTAACCGAACCGAAAGTAATCTCTTTGTTGTCCTTCTAAACTGCACCTTTGACACATTCAAAACAAAACATCTGAGATCCCATTACCTGTATTGCTAAAACTGTACATTAAGAATTTTAAAAACAGTGGGTTCTTTTCCTCTCAAATGTCACTTCTATTTAGTATTTCGCTCAGCTTGGATAATCAGCTAGACTGTGCAATTGCATTTTCTGGTTCTTCTATTGCAGCAGTTGTGTTTGGGTTTCCAATGCTGCAAGGAACAGTCAAATAAACAAAAAGGTCAATTTATAGATCTTTCCATTATCTTTACTTGTATGAAGTTTCCAAGGCCAATCAAATAAAATCCAAGCTTGTAATGGCAAGCTATCTGCTTTCACTTCAAACAAAGCACTGCTGAGCAGAGCACAACCTATTCTGCTCCAATTCCACAGCCACTCCAAAGGGAGAATTACCAACTAGTTCTTAGATTTAGTTCTAGCTATTTGGAAACATCTCACTCCATAAACTGTGACATGTCTGTCCCCAGCTCTAGGCAGAACTTCCAAAAAAACTAACAATGCCAGCTGAGACAGTTCTGTTCACACATAAACACACAAACACAAAACCCACCACCACAAAGCCTACTATCGAGTGTCCTGAAAAAAATATCTTCTGATATTTTCTTCTGACTAATGGGAGTGTGAACATACACACAAATCCCTTACCAAAAAAAGTTATTAATGGTCTCAGAGGAAAACATAACAAATCAGAAGGATCATTTACTTCAACAGAGAGCAGAACTCCTTGCTTCACACCGTCACCACACAAGTTACTGTGACTGCATGAGAAGTTCTGGTCTTTTCTGTGACCATGCAAGGGACTGGGCTTTAAGCTGGAACTTCATTTTATCATACTGCCTCAGAACACCATCTGACTTTGTTTTCATTCTTCATCCTGCTAGGATGCTACAGCTTCGTGATTTCAGAGTGAGCACTCAGCACAGAGCTGACAGATGAAGATGTATACAGCAGACACTACAAGAACAATTCCCAAAAGACTACCTGAATTCCTGGAATGTGCTCTGGAACAAAACAGTGTAATGCTGTTTTTTTATCCACAATTCAAGCAAGGCAAAACACTACATCCACGTGAGAATGTATACTCAAGTCTCTAATAAAGTTTAATGATCCAAGTTACTAAGACAGGCAGGTATTTGCAGTTAACATTTGCCTTATAATGAAAGCTTGCATGATCTCCCGCTACTGTCTTTGAAATAATGTCTGGCTTCAGTCATTTAAAGACATCTCCTCCAGCCAGACACTTTCGTCTATGAGTTACAGGTCCCAGATTAACTTATGGAGCACAGCGCACACACTGAGTTGGTGCCACTTTCCCCTGATGCATTTGAACACTTCTTCATGGAGTCTTCCCATTCTAGCTCTGCTTTGAAGCGTAACTGCAGAACAGGGTGCTCTGGCAGTACACAAGCAGAACCTGAGGGTTGAAAACCAGCTGGAAAGCCAACAGCCAGAAGTATCCTTTGTGCAGCATGCCTGGGGAGACTGCTCCTCCAGACTACCTCGCAGAGCTTCAGCCAAAGAAAAAAACAAAACAGACAAAACAAACCAAGAAAAACAAAAAACAAAAAGAAAACCCCAAATGCACATCCATCAAATATTAAATAACAGGTTCTGCTATTTTTTCTAACTTTAGATTAGACCTCAAACTGAAAACATATAGCTGTTACTGTCCACAAAAGTGTTATTTCTAAGGATGCAAATTTAAACCAGTTTGAAAGAAACTGATACATTTATAAATTAAACTTCATCAAGTACCTGGCAGAGATAATTTGTTTTACAAGTTATATATGTAAGATGTAGTTCTATTCTTCACATATTAGAAATCATTTAAACAGTAAAAGAAAACCAACAACAAACACCTCCCTTGCAATTAAGTTACTTCACACCTAACCAGTCTTTGTGATTTTGTATAATTTGTGCTGCCTTTAACATTCTACGAAGCCACGAGTTTCCTCTATAAAACCAGAGCACCCACTGGGTGCCCACAAGCCCCCCATGGACTTTGTGGTACTCAGACACAACCTCAATCTTACAGCACCACCCCTTCCAACCACTGCTTCCTCCAGGCACGCAGTACAGGTAGGTGAGAAGAAACCTCAAGAACCATTCTCCCCCACTCTTGCTGTGTTTAACCATAACAGGAAGGCTCCAGATCCACCATGCTAAGCCACATCATCATTCCACACCTTAAGGCCTCTGCTGTGCTTGCAAGCTGGCAGGCAGGGTGCTGAACCTAAGCGGCACATCTGCCTACAGCGCATGATGATGGCTCTGTTCATTACTGGGGATTTTTGGATATCTAGGGCAGGGGAAATAACACACATTCACCACAATGATGGTCAGGAGGTTGTGCAGGGAAGTCAAACAGCAGTTTCATTTGGTGGGTGATAACCCTGCCCTCAACAGGGGGGAATTGAATGGGCTTTGAGGTCCCTTCCAACCCAATCCATGCTGAAATTCTATGAAATGTCTGGTGGTAATAAATAAATATTAGAAAAAAATCCAAAAAAGGATCAAGCCCTAGGAAACAGGAACATTTCACAGAAGAGACAGAGAACACCTCTGGGGAAAACAAACAAAAAAAACCTAAACCCAACACAACACAATCAACGACACAAAAAAAGGCTACAAGACACTTGGAAAATAAAAGCTATGCTTTCAAAAACACCTGAGCTTTCCTTGCTGTCAGATGATATGCTGCACCTCCCTGTGTGCTACAGAGTGTAGAAAGAACAACTGATGACAACAGATGGCATTTGAAATGTATTTCATGCGACTTACAGATTGAGACTGTTGATAAATCTATGCTTTCAGGTATTGGGTGACAGAATTGGACCTGTACAGACAGGCTCTTGATAAGCAGCAGTGACTCTACGCTCTATAGGAAACCCCCGTTTCTACAGAAACAAATAGAGACCCAGCAGAAGTTCCTACTGAGATTAAGAGACCCTTACAAGAAAACAGAACTCCAAAACATGTTCAAAGGTCTTTTGATACTTAGTTCAAAGACTGAGGCTTAGGTTTTGTTTCCACAAATTTCAACAAGCAGCCCTGGAACAACCATCTACAACAAGGTTATGAATTACGTCTGAAATAGAGCACTTTTATTCTCCAGTTGTGAAAACTCCTCATTAAATTTAATCCAAATAAAGGTGTATGCTGGACAAAGAATACTTCTATTCAACTAGATGCAGTAGAAAAATAGCACGAAGCACAAAACGGATTTAGAGCAGCCATCCAAGAAAATTCACCAACTATAAGAAGTTAAAATTTAAGAGAAATGAATTAAGAGGTACTCGTGACAAAACAGTGAGAATGGAGACAAAGGTGGGTTGTTTTTTGTTTTTTTTTTTTTAAATAGGCTAGGTAGCAAACCCTCTGGAATAAAAGTCTGTTTACAAACTTTACTGTACAGGAGTTTGCAAAGAAATTCTTTAAAAATGTTACTTAAGGCCATACATGCCAGCCATTTGAGAATGTGAGAAACCCAGCTCTGACCTCAGCAGAGAAATCTGGTGTGCTCACATTCCTGCTGCTCAGCTGGGTGCTATCGTGAGCCATCAGAAAGATGCTTCTAAGCTCTGTCTGTAGCAAAGAAAACAACACCCTGCGTATCTAGCCAGCAGGGGCTGGTCTGTATTGTACCTCTAGGACAGATAATACCAGCACAACTAAGTAGGTACTTGACCTTTTTGTAGTTAGTTTGAAAATTCTTTATTGCAAAATGTGTATAAAAGAGTCTAGTTCTTGAAAAGACAGATACTGTAGCCAAGCTCAAAGGAGCACCGTCCTTGTGGGCCACTCCACTGGGGCACTTCAGGATCTGCAGCACATCACACAGGGCATGAATTAGGGGCTAGTCAACATCCTGCCAGCCTTGTTCACATGCCAAAACAGGCTAGATCCATGACAGCGTAGGTGAAAATTGACCCACACTCCTTTATAAGTGACAAACAAAAAGGAGAGCCACACTGTGGGATGTGGTATCAGAGCAACTGTTGAATGAACTGGTACTGGAAAATATTTATCTGGGATCCCCCCTTACCCCCATATACAGTATGCTGAGTTAGATAACTTTCCTGCAGCGGTCCCTCAAGCATTTATCCTGGAGAGACTTGTATGAAGCATCTCTAAGATTCTCTCTTGTTCTGGCACTAACTACCATTTCAAAACTCACAGGAAAAGACAGAGGTCATGATCTGAAAGACCACTTCATCTAATAATATTGGGTTTAACTGATAGAGTGATTCAAAGCAAAGGTTGCCAGTAGCTTACACGGAAGGCGCAGTTAACAGACAGCAGAGAAAATGAAGCAGTACTTAGGATAAACACAGGCTGATAAAAAGTCAGCTTTCAGTCTCAGTCATGTACCACATCTAATGCCTCTGTATTTTAGCATACCCATTATCTCTTAAAGGCTGAAAAATAAGAGTGAGCAAAAAAACCTAAGGGATCAGTCGGTACTACGATAAATAATGCAAGTACGTGCACACAGACATTTATATGGAATCTGCACGCAGCAACAAGAGATGCTCTAAAGGACGATGTTCACATTCACCTACAAAACAAGGTCAAGTCTAAGCACTGTAACTAAAGGTATTCTGAAATGCTCATAAAAAATACGATGTTTTAGAAGTGGAACTTTTCAGCAGATCTGTCACCAAAAATTCTCATGTTTTACAACCAAGATTATCATAACAAAGATGACAGAAATGCCTTATGCTTACTGTTTACACATCTTTGAGTAGTGGTAGAATTTCATGTACTGCTACAAGCCTCACGTTCCTTAATTAAAAGTGAAAAAGCATTTAGCTTTTCAATAATGAAAGTTAATTTAATTAATTAATTTAAAAATCGTCCAAATCCCATGCAGTGGCAGCATTCCCATAGAGCAATGATGATTTGAGTTTTGGAACAGGACTCTGTGACCACGTTAAAAGGTGAAAGACAACAGACCCTGACACGGCAAAGACTGCTTCATACATCCAATACCAGGCCAGAAGCTTCTGACCCTTCCATTGCCAGAATTACAGGAATAACAGAACACGTCCACATCCCCACCAGAAGATTTTAATTAAAATAAACAGACATATATGTGCTGCTAAGAATAGTTTGTCATCATTAAGTACTAATCAAAACCAATAAAGAATACTCATGACACTTCCTTGCATACCCACAGCCTTATAAATAAAGAACGTAGAGCCTGTCAGAGCCTGAGAATAAACACACTCACATGAAACACTTCAGAAGTGCTCTTCTGCATCCACGTGGAATAAAAGAAGTCATTGGAATTACATACTTAAAATTCAACACAGAAGATGCACACGTTTTTTTTGTTGATGTTGTTTTGCTTTTGTTGTTGTCGTTCTTAAAGGAAAAACAAAAGAAAGAAGAAAATATCTTTAAGCTTCCTTGAAGCATCCAGAAAGAACTGAATTCTGACACAGATCTCATTTGCAGTCTAGATATCAAGTCAGTTCCTCCTATGGGGTAATTGCATGGCAGCTTATTATAGCTATCAGCTTAATTACAAAACACTCCAACCAGCAGTAATAGGGCCCATTGCTGGTAACAACATAAGCTATTACTGGTTTAGCAAACAAGGTTCAGTCCTCCTGACAGCACTTCCCCACTCACAGCTCACACTGCAGCCTGCCCAGCTGTGGGTCCATCCCTGACATCTGCCCACCAAAACACCCTGCCAGGCCAGCCCTCCCCTGGCTCTCAGGTGATGTACTGTCCAGAAGGTTTGCAGCCTGTATACAAACAAACATGGGATAAACAGAGAGCTGGGAAGCAAAGAGAAAACAGGGAGAGACAGTGTGTCAGCAGCATCAGAGATGAAGAAGGTGGAAGACTTCACTAGGAAGTGCAGTGAGTCACAAGGGGCACAAGAAGGGCAGGACAACACATGGCCCTGATGGGAGGAAGGGCAAGAACAGGATAAACTGACCCTTGACGAATAGAAAATAACCAAAAAAAAAAACCCAAAAATCAAATTATGGAGACTTCTTAGTATCAACAGATCATTACGACAGCAGCCAGTACGTTCAGCTGAAGAACAGCGAACTTCAAGTCTACCCGTATTCATCCCCTCAGCTGCAGCTTTCCAACTAGCAGCCAGAATTTGGACTTCAAGTACTTCCCTCTTCCAGCAAGTACTGTGTTACCAGCAAGAAATTTCACCACTAAAAGTATAGTGTCTCTACTGGACATTGTCACAGAGCAGTTCCCCAGGCACCACCGCACAGATTAATTTCTTGCAAGTCTTATGATCCAAAGAATTAACAACTGCTTTCACTCACCAGTGAGATACAAACACCACCGTGTGACCACAGGCCTGGCAGCAGAGGCACATAATAGGAAAGCCACTGCTGGAGAACTTGGGAAAGCTTAAGAATCTGCAACAAAGTACTCAGATTGTTTTCCATCTAACTGACGTAAAAACATTTGTATTGTTATTGGGGGGTAGAGAGACACTGGGCAATTTGAAGCCCTGCCCCAAAATCATGACGTAGTGGTACAGATCTGCGAGCCTCAGCTCAAAAAAGAAAGTTCAACACTGGCTTTGGAGTGTAGCACATCTCTGAAATCACCCTCTGGGAATGATTCCTGCCCAGAAAAAAAGGAGCGTACTAGAAATAAGCATGGTATTGAAAGTGGGAGTTTGATAAGCTTCTGTGACTTAAGAGGAAGCGTTCTATGATAGGCACACAAACAGGAAAATTGTTTAGGGGGAAGAGGAATTGGATCAGCTCTTAAAAGAAAGCTCAGCCAAATCAGTTTGCCATACACCATTTGTTTCTGACTCCTAATAGACTCTTAAACCAGTAATCAGTTTTCTCTCCACCTCAGATTTCCTACCTCAGCACAGAACTGGGACACTGGAGCCAATAGCAGCCAAACACAAACAAATGAGCAGTGCCAGATCACAGCTCAGACACCAGAACTTGCTACTCTCAGACAGCTGTCTCAGATGGGGCTGCACTGTTTGAGACGCTCTGCATTTTTCCCCAGCAGAGCTGTTTATCTGCACGTGACTTCTGTCACCACCATTAGTTTGTATGGATCTGTGCCTACTGCAATGGAATTGTGAAGTAAACTTCTGAACACAGGTGGATGTTTTCCCTCATAGCTTGATTGTCACATATTGCATACAAACCGATGCTGTAATGGTGGATATAGCAGAAATACTGGGGAAGGAAAAAAGAAAAAAAACATGAGATCAATTTGTTCTAATAGCGCATCAGAGCGTTTGGTAACTCCTGCAGAAAGCCTGATGTTGTGGACTACCAGATCTTTTAGTGCAGTCATACTGAAAGTGCTTTCAGTAAGTGAGCTTCATTGATTAGGAAATGACAGTATCACCCAGGGAGCAGATAAGTGATGTGTGCCCCTGTTACCTAACAGGATAAAAGCAACTACTTAGGTGTTGCTCAAAGATTGAAGAGTTCTTAAGGATTGGAACAAAGCACGGGGAGGCAATTCGAAAGGTCCTAACAGAACCAAGCAGGCAACTCCAACTTCTTTTGATATAACGTAAAACACTCCGAACTGTCGCAGAGAACTTAACCCCAATTCAGCCTGAACTAGAAAGAACTCAGTCTTTACTTGACTCCTGTAAGGTTCTTACCACTGGCAGAATGTCACTGCATCAGCCTTCCTACAGAGCAGAAAGAACAGTGTGGTCAGCTGCCATTCCAGTGCCCCTCACTTCTACTGATCCCAGAACAGATCTGGTTAATTTAAGAGAAGTTGTGTGCAAATGAGATGGAAAATGGACACTGCCTAAATGCTAGCCTACAGTACTTAACGTGATTAGACTCAAGCAGGTTAGAAAAGTGGATCTTCCATGTCTGCATTAAATTTAATCATAGAATGGCTTGGATTTGAAGGGGCCTTAAAGTCCACCAGCCTTAACCTCTGCCATGGGCTGGCTGCCCCTCACCAGCTCAGGCTGCCCAGGGCCCCATCCAGCCCGGCCCTGAGTGCCTGCAGGGATGGGGCACCCACAGCTCTATGGGCAGCTGTGCCATGGCCTCACTGCCCTCTGAGTAATGAGCTTCACCCTAACATCTAACCCAAATCTCCCCTCTTCTAGTGTAAAGCCATTCCCCCTTGTCCTGTCACTATTAGGCTGTCCCCCTCCTGTTCATAAGCTTCCTTCAAGTACTGAAAGACTATCAGGTATGTGAAAGCCTTCTCTTCTCCATTCTGAAGAAGTCCTGCTCCTTCAGCCTGTCTTCACAGGAGAAGGCACTCCTACCCTCTTAACACAGAAGACCAAAACGTAGTTCTTAAGGAATGTCGAGCCCTTAGTGAAGGTGGTTTCTGGAGCCTCATGGAAGCCTTAGGATGCTTTGAGAGAGCCGCTCTGAGGTTCTATTGGTGTCTCCTCGTGTTCCAACTCACCTGCTTGCAGACTATGGCAGTATGCGCTACCAACTCCTTCACAAAAAGAGTTTCTTCGTATAACATCAAATAATAATAGTATCATCATACCCTCAGAGATGAGCTGGTAGAGACAGCAACATAAGCCAGCAAGCTTCTGCTCCGGAAGTTTGCCAGTGCCAGGACCCGGCCGCAATATAACATTTCAGCCCCGTTGGGTATCAGCACACGCCCAACCCCATACGAGCGGTCAGAGCTTTAAGGGACGACAGCGTTAACAAACGCTTTCACCGCAATCGGCGGTGTGACCGCGGCGGCGTTCAGAGCACCGACCGCCTCCCTGACACCGCAATTCGGCTCCCGAAGGGGAAAAAGTTCATTTGTCGCTCCCGGAGTCACGGCGCGCGTCTGCGGGCCGGGCCGGGGGCCGCCCGCCATGGCTGCGCCCGGAGCCCCGTGTTGAGCCCGGAGCCCCGCGCTCGCGGTAAGCGGCCACGGGGCTCGCGCCCGGGCGCGCTCACGATCCGATACGCCTAAAGGGCTTCTGGGTCACAGCCCGCGGAACGGCAGCGGGCAGCCCGCGCGGCGAGATCCCTCTGCCAGGCAGCGCCATCGCTCAAACTGCCGCCTCCGAGCTGAGAGCCGACGCGCGGAGCCGCTGCCGCAGCGAGCGGCCGCCCCGCACGCGCGTCTCCAGCCGGCGGCTCCTCGGGGCCGATGCCGCCCCGCCACGGCGCGGGAGGGACAGCGCCGCCCCAGGGCCGCACGTGCGCCGCCGCCGTCCCCGCCGCGGCCGGGGGCTGCCCGGAGCCGCCATGGCCGCCGCCGCCGGGCCGCGCCGCTTTCACTTTCTCTCTCACCCCGCTGGCACCGGGGCCGCGGGGCCCCGCGGAGCCCCACCGACGGCCCTTCCGCGCCGCCCCGAGGCCGGGCGCGCTCTCTCCCTCCCTCCCGCCGCGGGGTCCTTCCGGCCTCGACCTCGCCGGCGAAGAACGGCGGCCGGCGGCGGCCGAGCTCGGAGCCTCAGCCAGCGGCAGGCTCGCGGGTCCGGAACGGTGCCCGCAGAGGTGACCCCCCTCCGGCTCCGGCTCCGGCCCCGTCCCTCCCGCCGCGCCCACCTTGTAGGAGTCGGTGGCGAGGAGGATGTTGAACTCGGCGCCCGCCGCCGCGCACTCCATGCCGCCGAGCCCCGAGCTGGCGCCGCCGCCGGCACGGACAGGACTGGGCTGCGCTGCCCGCCGCCGCCAGGCGCTCGGTGCGGGGAGGGGGCAGAGAGGAGAAAGGGGGGACGGCAGGAGGCGGGGCCGAGCGGATGACGGCCGGGCGGGCGGGACCTCGCTCGGCTTCTGGGCGCCGATTGGCCGCGCCGCCGAGCAGCAAGAGGCTGTGTCGTGAGGTCAGCACGCGCGTGGGCGGGGCCAGGGCAGGAGCGGCCTCTGATTGGGCAGGCGGTGCCGAGGGGGGGGGGACGGTGCGACACCGCGAGTGCGGAGGAGAGCCCCAAGCCGCACGTTCTCTTTCATCGGAGCCCGGGCGGAGGGCGGAGGAGAGAGGCGGGGTCTGTGACGTCACCGCGCGGCCGGTGCTCGCTCTCTCCCGATTGGCTGAGGCATCGGGGGCGGGGCGAGTGCGGCGCTCGGCGGTGTCGGGGTCGCGCGGTTCGCGAGTACGCGCCCAGGGGCTCCAGTTTCGATTCCTGCGGGCGCCGCCTGTGGGCGCGATTCTGGGAAGGGGCGGGGCGGGGCGGGGCGCGTCCCGGGGCCTTGCAGGAATGCGGGCATGGGAGGAGCCCTCTGACAGGTGTGTGGGCCGCGTGCCTGCTGCTCATCAGCGCTGCGCTAGGAAACTCTTTAACTAGCCCTTGCTAGTTAACCTTGGAGTTTGGTGGTGTGTGGATCCAAGCCCCAGGTATGGACAGAGATCCAGGGATTGCCTGTACTTCGAGTTTCTGGATGGATAGAGCTGCAGTGTTCTGTTGTTGTTTTCCTATTTTGTTTTCCTGTTGTAAGAAGTCGCCGTTTTCAGCATCAGGACTAGGGCGGGTGGACCGCGCTGGTCAAGTTGTCACAGGAGCACAGGCATCCCCACAGCCTCAGGCGCACGCTGGGGGCAGAAGCCCCTGTGGGGCCGTGTGTGTCTGTGCGGGCCGCCTCGAGGCACGGGCGCCTGTCAGCTCCCTGCGTGCTGCCGGGCCCTGCCCTGGTTATGCCGCAGGCCCTGCCCTGGGCCCTGCTCCCCTTGGCAGAGATGGCGGCAGCCTGTGCTTTAGGCAGAGCACTGGAAGGTTTGGATCAGGAGCTGCTGCCCACTCACTTTACCAGCCCCTCTCAGCACAGGCCTTCCTTCCGCTTGCTCTGTTGCTGCTTGCGAGGTTATCTCCCTGCCGTTGTTTTGCCATCACAGCGAAAATGTTGGCATCTCCCAACTGCAGTTCCTCCCTTGGGGTTTCTGTGGCCCTTCCTTTGTTTGAGGAGAGACAACTCCCCTCTTCCATTAGCGAAACTCATCTTAAAATGCTGTTTACCAAGGGCCAGCTTCTCTGCCTTTATCCATATCTGCCTTGAACTGAAGTGCTTTTGCTGAAGTTCTCTTGACTTAATTCCTTCTCCCTCCATGGAGTGTCCCATCAGTGCAGGACCACGATTATGGGGCAGTATGAAATTGTCTTTACACACAACCCTGCTCTGTTCCCAAACTTTGCACTGTGATCTCATTTACACCTGATTTTTCCCCCTGTCCTCCCTCCATGTGTTCTTTCCTGGTGACATTGCGGCAAAGGACAAATCTCCATTTTTGTTTGGAAAGTCTATTTTAATGTAAGTCAGATCACTGAAAAGAAAAATAGATTAATTTGATCAGATCCGTCTTTTATCTTAAGTGCTCCAAGAAATTAGAGAAGTCAGAGACGTACCACAGGGCTTGTTGTTTTTTAAAGACTGACATTTCTCACTACGGAGTTCTGCTGATAAATCTTCAAGCCTTCGATAGCATAATTAATGATGATTTGCTCAGACGGAATTTTTAATTGTCAGCATCTTCCCCCTCCTCCTGCTGGCTCTTTCTTGGATCTTACAATGTGCCTGAACTTGAAGAATGGTTTAATTTAGCTCATGTGAGCAAATCTAAAGCTGTATCTGTAATGAAATATTGTAAGTTAGGACACTTCAGCGTATTAATAGAAAATAGTATTATGCTGAACAGAACTATATTAAATCACACTTTGCTGGTTAAGAGAATATATTTTAAATTTGGATAAAAAGGAAATACTCCAGCTGTTGTAGCAGTGGGAGTGTATTACAATGGGAGAAGAGAGGTGATCCTGGGGACCTCAAACACTGGATGCCTGTGCTTTATTTGTCTGTTATCTTTGTAAATGACTTTGGCCAGGATTTGTAATTTAAATAGGCATGACTTCTCTTTTCAGATGGAACCACATTAAGAAATTGTGTTCTTCAATTTAAATGGAATTTCAGCTGAATTGTTTCTGACAGCATTTAGCCCGACGATAGAGCTAAATGCTCTATTGGTGAGCATCTTCAGTGAGTGAGATCTTCACAAATGATTTCTATTACTGTCCTTTGACATATAAGAAGACTCTTTTAGAGGTACTCATTTTACATGTTTTTAATAAACAAAACAGTAATGGTAGGTTTTATAAAGTCGTATTAATACAGGGACATGTTTTTGTTCTCAGGGATTTCTGATAAGAAATTATATTGAGTTGTAGAAGTATATCCGTTAGCAGTTTATATATTTAAATATATATATATATTTATATGTATATAAAGTCTGTAATGTAGTCTGCTGCTGCCTTTAGAGGAATTCTGTCCTGCAAATATGTTCTCAGGTTGGTGTATTGTATACAAGATCAGCCAAATTAAGATAGAGATTAGATTGTATCACTTTGATAACCATTGCAAAACTGGATATTTATTTCATCTAGCTGTGAGAGTCGTGTTGCAGCTACACAGAAAATCCACATGTCTGAAATTTCTGCACATAGACTGTGAATTTTTCATCTCACCTGAAGAGTTTCTGGTTCTTTTGTTGGTTTATTTTATTTATTTATTTATTTTTCCTGGGATGCCATTCAGAGGGACCTAGACAGGCTTGAGCAGTGGGCCCGGGTGAACTTCATGAGGTTCAGCAAATCCAAATGCAGGGTCTTGCACCTGGGTCGAGGCAACCCTCACTACCGATACAAGCTGTGGGATGAAAGGATCTGCTGAAAAAGACTGGGGGGTACTGGTGGATGGGAAGCTGGACATGAGCCAGCAGTGTGCCCTTGCATCCCAGAAAGCCAACCATATCCTGGGCTGTATCAAAAGCAGCACAGCCAGCAGGGTGAGGGAGGTGATCCTGCTCCTCTGCTCTGCGAGACCTCACCTGGAGTGCTGTGTCCAGATGTGGAGTCCTCAGCACAGGAGAGACATGGACCTGCTGGAGCGTGTCCAGAGGAGGGACACAAAAATGATCCCAGGAATGGAACACCTCTCCTATGAGGACAGGCTGAGAGCTGGGGCTGTTCAGCCTGGAGAAGAGAAGACTCCAAGGAGACCTGATAGTGGCCTTTCAGTATCTAAAGGGGAGCTACGGGAAAGAAGGGGACAGACTTTTTAGCAGTCTGTAGCGATAGAAGAAGGGGAAATGGCTTCAAGCTTAAAGAGGGCAAATTTAGGTTGCGTATACGGAAAATGTCATTTACAGTGAAGGTGGTGAGGCATTGGAACCGGTTGCCCAGAGATGTGATGGACGCCCTGTCCCTGGAGACTTTCAAGGCAAGGCTGGATGAGGCCCTGGTCAACCTGATCTGACTGTGCATGTCCGTGATCATTGCAGGAGGGTTGGACTAGGTGGCCTTTAAAGGTCTTTTTCAACTCTAAGGATTCTGTGATTCTTTTGATAATTAGTTCTCAGCCTGCATCAATCCCTCGTACTCTGTTTATCTTGGTGATAATTCTAAAGCATATTGGTGAATCTGGGATTGTTCAGTCTAGAGAAGAGAAGGCTCAGGGGAAACCTCATCAATCTCCACAACCACCTGAGAAGAGGTTGTGGCCAGGGGAGTCTTGGCCTCTTCTCCCAGGTAACAGCAATAGGATGACAGGTAATAGCCTCAGGTTGCATCAGGTTGGATATTAGGAACAATTTATTCTCAGAAAGAGTCAAATGCTGGAACAGGCTGCCCAAGGAGGTGGTGGAGTCACTGTCCCTGGAGGAACATTTAGATGTATTAAGACACAGTTTTGTGGGCTTATATTGGTGGTTGGTGGATGGTTGGACTAGAGGTTTTTTCCAACCTTGGTGATTCTATGATTCCATGAATTAGATGCCAGCATTATATTTTAAAACTGACAACTTCTATTTAAATATGTAGATATAGCTGAACTCCTTTGTGGTTTAGCTTTGGCACAAGTTGGTGCAGCCAGTGCTCATGGTGGTGTTGAAGCTTTTAACAATTGGCAGCAAATGTCTTCCTCCAGCTCAGTGCACCCTTCATTGCGAAACTGAAGAAAACAGAGTGGAACCTGGAGACTTTTCATCAGGACTAAGTTTCCTAAATTTTCTCTTGTCCTTCCTAAAGTTTTCTACCCTACACCTTTCTGCAGCACCTCAGTGCTTTCTCTCTGTATAGTTAATGGCATTCTTTCACTGTGGATGAAGCTCCAGAGACGATCAGTGCACAACTGGCTCAGGTGTTAGTACCATCTAAGTAGATTATAGCAGGCTTGAGAATTTTATTCTCATTGCTAAATGGCATCCATCAATAATCTTGTAATATAGTATCTCAATCACAAGGAATCATGGAGTAGTGGATTATTTTGCATAAAGCAAATAAAAGAAAATCCTGATACATCACTTTAAATCATATTCAGCGAATGAAGCAAGCACTAGTATTTCTCCCCTGTAATTTATCCAAAGGCTTGTGCCTTTGTAACTCAAAATAATCTTTAAAAATTCTGTGTTATGCAGGCTGTATAAATAACTGTACCATACTGTGTAAGAAAATAAGATGTGCTATAGGATAAGGTTAAATCTAGTGCAAGATTCTACTTAAGGGAAATGGCAGAGCCTTTTGGTGGGCAGCCACACTAGATTATATGTAGTTTGATACTCAGATTCTTGGATCTCTGTGTAAATACAATATATATAAAATTATATATGTAAAGATATATTCATGTATATATACACAAACTAATATTCTATTAAAATACTGCTTGGTAGTCTGTCTACTGAAGTTGCTGTTCAGTTCATGGTGTAGCAGCTCTTTCCTAAATTCCAGCTTAGCAAGAGATGTTTGTGTATCTGCAAGACCTGGGTCAGCAAGAATTTCATCTCAGGATGGCTGTCCTTCAAGAACTTATTAGATTTTGTGGTTCAAAGTGTGTATTATAGCAAGCCAGTTTTTCTTTATACTTTCCTAAGAGCTCTATCTCATTATTGGGTCTTATCTCTGGAAGGAGATGCACGTATTTCTCCTGGGGGTAGATTCCTAGCCTTCCAGATATGCTGCAAGACCTCTTGCCTTGGTTTTTGGAAGAAGTGAATTTCAGTTTCG